TTCCAGTTTGAGAGGTAAAAAAAAAGGAGAAAATGCTCTGTGTGACTTAGTTGCGTGGCTTAATACAATGGTCCATCTAACATGCCAATCATGTAGGCATTGTCAGATGGGGATTTTGTTTCCTGTGCTTTTTCTAACATCTGTATGATACATTGGTAAGTAACATTTTTAAGCATAAAGAACATAAAACTTCTATAATTATTTGATTTGCATTGCCTCAATTAGAGCTCATTTCCTGAAATAGCTGTTTTTTAAATCTAAAGCACTTTCAACTGAGGAGAAAAAAATCACAGTGAAAATCCTTTGAATCCTTGTGAACATTGATTTTATTTCTTATTTGGCTGGATCCAGCATATGATAAAATAAATCACTAATGCTGTAATACGTGACCTTATTTCTTTGTAGAGCATAGTCTAATCTTAAGTAACAGTTGCAGGTTGTAAAAGGAAGCAGTAAATTGAGAGCTGAGTTTCCAGTCCAGCTTGCAGGGGATTTCTCACTGGAAGAGCACAGTGCTGGTAGAGGCATGTACAGCCATGCCCTAAGACACTAAAGAGGCCAGAGCAGCACAATGAACAGCAGTTCTGCTGTGCTGTGACTATTATAAGTAAAAAAACCCATTCCTTTGCACAGCAGAAACTGAGGAGTATAGCTTGAAACAACTGCTCTAGGGCTAGACTCAATACTTTCTCATCCAGTAAGCAACTAGAAAAAAGGAATTGCGTTCTATGCTGCTAAATTCAGACACTGTATGCATATTGGATCCTGTAGCTCACACTACGCTCCTCAAATTTAAGTCGTTTTGACCAACTAACCTGTTATCACAACTGCTTTCAGCGTTTTTAACAAAACGGGTCACTAGTTTTAAAGGGCAAACATAATGTGGGAGAAAAATACCAAGAAAGTTAAATATCTTCTACTGACAGAATGAAGTTCCTGCTCTGCGCAACGTGGAACCTCACAGCACGCACACAAAAAATGGTTCAGTAGGAATTATCTGTGTGCAGATATAACCTCTGATTAAATGAGCTTTTTGAAAACTGGCCAGAGTATAGCTAAGAGTAAAAATAGCACTCCCTCTCAACTATTTCTATTTAATTTTAATTTGCTAAATCCATCGTTCACCTGTACAATTATATGAGGATCTTTCTTTTTCTTATCTTATTTTTTTGATGGTGTTAGGAACAGATAAACTCTACATATAATTAGAAAAGCTGTTCTACTGCTAACTGGAGGAACATTACACAAAAGTTAGAATTTGATTCTCAAGAAAGCCAGCCTATACATACAACTACTCCAAATAAACACAGGAAAAAGCAAATATTTTCAGAACAAGGAATGGCTTTGTCTGCAAACAGAACTCTATGTATTTTTGCACATACAAACTGAAACAAGTTAGAACACATGGCAACCACTCACCTGGAGCAGCTTTTAATACTCCAGATATGTATCACATAATTATTTGGTCTTTGAAAGTATGTGTTTTAGAAGCTATTATTTATTTATTTTAACAAAAAAAATCTGGGAAAAATGAGCTTTATGTACGTCTCTGACTTCAAGGGTTCAATATATTTCCCAGGCATTCAAGATTGATGTTACAACCAGTTTCGTTGGTAATGCAGTACTTGAAAGCTCCCCAGGCTCTATAGATGTAGGCACCATGAGTGCTATGGTGGCCCTAAGGGGGAGAGAGCAGCATTAAGTCCCACTGGGTAAGCATGCAACTAAGGGACACATGTTTTGAGATTTGCTATTGTATGGCTTCATCTGAACAGTGAAAAGGGCAGCTAGATGGTAAATGACATATTTTAGACATTAAATAACAGAGGAGTTTCACTATGCTTCCTCTGCTCTCAGCAGAGGCAGAACATCTCCCAGTTTTCTATCCCTCTTGCATAGGATAATTTAAAGGCTCTGCCCACTCTGATGCTTAATCAAAGCTTCCTTAGATACATCTCTTTATCTTGTATCCAGTGTAAGATAAAGACTTTACACCTGAAAGTGGAAGGAAAAGGAAATTTTTGCTTTTCCTCTCAGTAACAGAACTAGTTGTTCACTTGACAATCAGAAAGGGCAGACATTTAAAATGTCTTTTAGGGTGCCGTCATTTGCTGTAGATAGGCATATATATTTCTGAGATAAAACTTCCAGGAACAGCTACTTTCTTTACTAGCTATTGGTCTCCTGATCAAGTACAAACAATAGTAACATTAGAAAAGTTAGTGTAGTCGCTCCATCAAAATATCTACTTCTGGTTTTGCGAGCGAAGCACCAGCTCTGAAGAATTAACTTCTTTAGATTAATTTTTCTCTTTTCTATGGGATATCCCATCACTGAAGAGTGAAATACTGCCAAACTGCTTCAGTTCAGGTCCTGTTCCAGCCATTTTCATTAATGAGCTTCTTTCTTATATCTGTTTTAACCGTTTTCACTACTACTACCAAGCTCCAACCTATCCTTTGTTATCCCTTCTCTATTTTAGAAAGGTTCTCAAAGAAAATCCTTTTAATCAATGAATAATCCTGAAAGCCAATGATTCAAGTCATTCACCTCATGATCCTGCGTCACCAACACTTTCACAAAGCCATCATAAAACCTCTTTGTCTTCCTTTTACACTTATTGAAAATAATCTACAAAAGCCAACAAAAAACCCCAAACCCCAACCTTTCTAACATGTAAATTAGACAAAACAGAACGAGAGTAAAACTAAAACAGACATCCACCTGAAATAACTGTATTTTCAACTAATGTTGATTACTGTTAGATTTATGTCAAAAATTAACTAAAAGTCCTTCCCGGGACCATAACAATTGTGAAATATTGGCAGCTAAGGTGGAAAATAACAGCACAGAGTTAGAAATCCGCAATGAACTCATCACGACCGCTGAAAATAGGAAGTGGTTAGCAGAAGGTAAACCTTCACTGTCAAATGTAAAATAAGGAAAGAATACCTTTTTTTTAATCAACTTATTCAGCCTTTTTTTTCTCTTTTGCCCTCAGACATATATGTAGAGTGTGCTTGGAAGCACCAAAAGAGTGGAGCTTCAAAAATCACTCACCAAACAATTGTGCTACTTTTAATAATTTATTAAAGGTCCTAAAACAAAGATCAAAAGGGAATATATCTAAGCATTTATATCCAATTCCACAGTGCCTGATGACTAATTTGTAAAGAGTGCATAAGTCTTCACAACTGAAGCCAAAAACATTTGAGGATACTTTGATATAATGCCACAAAGGATATGAACAGGAAGGCAGCAGGAGTTACAAACAGCCAAGCTCCATTAAGAGTACTAATAAAAGAATAATGGAATTTCCTTGTACTATGAATAAAAAGTGTTTGGCACAGGAGAATTTAGACACGGAGCAGAATATCAAAGCTTCTAGGTCATCAGTTGCTTCTCCTTATTAGAACTTAATTGATTTACTATGACGTTTACCTTAAACTGCTCCAATTTAAAAAAGTAATATTCCCGTTAGAAATCTTGTCGCATTAATTTCCTTTATTCTTAACGTTTACCAATTTTCACAGGCCCTTAACATCTGCTTTACTAGACTTTATAGATAATGCAAGTCTGTCTATAAAAAATACTTCAAAGTGATGGATTTAACTTGAAATGATATATTATTATTAACATTACAGAATATATCTACTGTTTGTTAATGATTTTCTAATCTATAAATATTCAGGTAGCTGGTAACTATGGAACTCTCATAGCAACAACCTACCTGGTTCCATCTATTTTATAAACTTATTTGGCTTTTTTTTTCCCCCCCTTTTGTCGCAGACATGTATGTAGAATGTGCTTGGAAGCACCAAAAGAGTGGAGCTTCAGTCCATTAATATTTACATACTGTATTTCTCTCTCATACACATTTATATTTACACATACACACTTTGCACATACAGGTATGTGTACACTTCGAGCCCTTCTTCCCGCAAATATGAAACCTATTTTTTTTTTCCAATGTATAGTTATTTAGTACATGGATTGGAATAGAAGGGATAGGGTTCAGAACTTTTCTGTTGAAATGTCTATACAAAAAAAGTTTCAAATCTTTCTTTTTTAAAATGCATACTTGCAAAACTATACAGACTTTGTAAAACAGAAGCAGCAGAGAAGATGGTCTCATACTGCTGACAAATTGTTAAAAGATCTGGTGCACTTGCTTAAAAAAAATGTGCCCACCGATGCATCCAAGATTAGAGGAAATCCCTGAAAACCTTTACAGATCTACTTAACTCTCCTTCAGTTTGCTGCTTAATGCCCTCTTCTGCATAATGTCTATGAAGAAACCCATGACAAGTAGTTAAACCACAGAAATGCTGTGATCACTACCTTTTGACTCTATTGTATTGTCTCTCTGCCTCTTGGTACTCCAAAATCTTCTCATAACAGCTTTAATTATTTATCTGACATTGCAAGGTCTTTGGGGAAGTGGTTTTCTTTTTCTCTTATACCTATAAGGGTTTTGACCAGACTTAACAATTAAGGGTCACGTAATAATGATGATTTGCGTTTTTTCATCTTCCCCAAAATAACTGGCAGATTGTTAACAAAGTGGTCTCTTCCAGTGATGCTTCCAGAATCAATAGATAATTCATTAGTATCATGTATCTCAGGGCCTAATTGACACAACAGGCTAAGCAACATACTCAAGAATAACAGACTTTCTAAATAGAGAGGGAAAAAAAGGGGGAATCAGATACCCCATATGGCCACTTCACAGGATTTAGTGTCAATCCATAAATTATATTTCTAGGAGGTTAATGCAAGTCATTGATTTCACAAGTCAGAAAATGCAGCTTTCCAAGCTTGGCTTGAAGAAATAAAAATATATTTTGTATGACGGTCTAATTACAGTAACATGAATAAACCCTAGCACCTTCAAATATTTTCATCATTTCTTCTCATTTTTGCATTAAACATAAAATATAGTTAACATAAATGTTTGGAATTATTCTTAACAAACACATAGGTAGTATATTTTTTCTTACCTTATGACCATACGGATTGTAAGAATGAAACAGCTGGGATAGATCCTTTGTTCTTTGTTTTTTCTAAAAAGTAATATTAATAAATAAATTTATTAGAAAAGTTAAAGGAAAAAGAAAGAGACTAAAGGTTTAAAAAGCTATGTACAGGTACAAACACATTCTCTCCCCACTTTGTTAATGGAACTGTAGGTACGAAGAGTAATGTATGCAGATTAAGGATATTTAATGTCACAGGAAATAATTAACATATATATTAAAAATGTTAGGAACATATCCTAAATAAAAATAAATACTAAACCATAATGTCAATGGAATGTGAAAACACCTTATATTTGTTTTAATTTCTGCACAATAAATCATAAATAATGTCTTGGAATATAGATAACAACACTTGAAAATGAGGCTTCAATCTTGCAAAGACTTGCTCAGTATTCTAGTATCTACTTGCTTTATAGCAGATTAGGTTTAAAGGAAGTCAGTTTAAAGAAGTTTTATTATTTTTCTATTGCTTTTGATGCTAATACTCTCATTGCCTTGATTGTGGAAAATTAATAGGTGGTATGCCATTTAATGTCAAGACAAACAGGAAGAAAACCCTCCTTCTGTTAAGGATAAAGTTCAGAGACAAAAACTCCTTAATCTTGCTTTTGCTGAAATCAGTGAAAGACTTCACTGATTTCAATAGGTGCTAAACAGAATCAGCTGCATCCTATGGGGGGAGGGGCACAAGGTGGACAGGAGAAAAAACAGGCTTCTTCGGTAATATTGGGATGAGTCACAAATAAGTTTAAAGCTTCATTATGTCAAAATCTACGCTGACTTATCTCAAAGCGTAGAAGAGCAGAGTATTCCACACCATAAGCTGCATAAGGAGGAGAGAACCACAAGAGTTCTATACTGGTATTTTATACGGTAGTCTTATTTTAGCCATCACTTCTGCGACAGTTTTCCAACTAATTGGTATGATATGCTCATGCTTCCAGCATGCTGGGAACTGAATGGTAAAAGCTGGCAGCTGCATGACTGTAGTATTTATTCTGTCTTCTGGAAAGGATAGGAAAATTTAGTAATTTTTGATTTATGCAAAAGGAACTACATATTTCCCTTCTTTGCATAGTTTTTATTTTCAGTGAAATGCTCAGATGCAGAAACCTAGTCAAAGGAGTTTTAAGTCCAGCTACTAGTAGGAATTTACAACAGCTAGTTTTTTCTCGGTCAGTAAACATTAAGTAAATATTACTACTTCCATGAGGTTAGTAACTATGTTTTAGTTATGACCACTAAAGAGTCAAGCAAATAATTTTTTACTTGCTGACCCTCTTTAAATAAGAACGGTGAACCTTGTTTTCAATATGAGGGATATTTGTTTAATAGATAGACAACTCTATTCAATTGCAGTAAGACCTTAAGAGGAGTTCTTTCCCTGAATTTACTAATGGGCTTTTCTAACACTAACAGAACTGATATTTAAAAATGACATTTCCGTTATTATGGACTTCCTCAGCAATACAACATACCTTTGCCAAAGAAAAGAACTCCTTTAGTAGAGAAACCTTGGCCCGCTAAGCCAGTAATACCTATTTTATTTCCAATGGAAAAACCGTTCAAGTGAAAGCATCAGGTAGCTCAACTCAAATTCCATCACACTATAATGGCTTGTTTCCTGTTAGTTACACACATTGAAAGTACTTAAAATACTATATAAAATATTTGGAGTAATGCCATGATAAACTGAAAAAAGGTATCAAAATGATTATTGAAAAGATTACTTGAAAAAAATCTTTTTCATGTATAAACACGCAAGAAGCAGATAAAAATATTTTAGTTTGGACTCCGGATACCTCCACCATGCTTACAGTACCCAGAAAAAGTATAATTGTTGTTTGTTCTTAGTGAAGACTATTTCCCTCTCTTACACATTTTAATTGCTCATAAAATACTTTTGACTATTTTATTGTAATACCTTTAATGAAAATCAATTACATGACAGAAAACTCCCTATCCTTCACCCTCAGAATCTGGCGAAACTGCCATTTGTACACACAGGCAAAATTAAATATGAAGATATCCTCTTACACACTACATTCATGTAGTCTTCCACTTTTCATTATAGGAAATCACAGTTTCTTTCCTCATTCATAAAAGGTAGAAGTTTTGCTTTTTTCAAAAAAGCAAAATGCTTCTGACTTAGGAAATGCTGGGAATTCGTGAGAGAGGAACATGCAATGCAACTTCTGGAGATGCACACCAAGAAGCGCTCCTGGAAAAATTCCCAGGATGCCTGTACGCTCAGCTGATCTAAATCTAAATAGCATTGACCACTTTGTGGGAACTCTGACTACACCCAGACAAAAATGTTTTAAATACAGTCATGGTTCTCACATCCTTCTAGAACACTGAATCCAGCCTAACTCAAATCTCTAAGAAAAAGAAATAAAAAAAAATTCCAAAACACAGAATTTATGCTGGTAAAACAGTAACCCCTTTAACTCCTAGAACAGGCATTAGCCATTACATATCAATCATATTTTTTTTTAAGTGAAGAAAAGGATGGTTCCGTGCTCACCTATATGCAAAGCGAAACACAGTAGTTGCAGGGAAATAGGCTTCTCCACTTCTAGACACAACAAGGAAAATATGGAGCCAACAACCTCTCTCCTTCATTGCTTCCAGTGGACTATTCCAATCCCTAAATCTTCTCTTCTCCTTTTAGCCTGAGCTCTGAACTGCTGATCGTTTACAGGCATCTCCCTAGACTCGCTTTCCTTGCTGTAGCTTTAAACTCCTACCTCTCCCTCCTCAGCTACTAGTCCAACATCCCTTTCATTGCCTCTCTTGACCAACATTAAAATATTGCTCTTCCATCTTTCTTCCTGCTTAGTCCAACATCCCTTTCATTGCCTCTCTTGACCAACATTAAAATATTGCTCTTACATCTGTCTTCCTGCTCTTTCCCATCAGTGTTAGGATTCCCCATTCCTTTGCTCTGTACCAATAATACTGTCAAAATCTCATGGTAAGAAGACACTCAATAAAATCTTCTGAATTTACACAAATGTAACTCTGCTGTCATAATGGTCCAGGTACACAAGCAGCACAGTGTTGCTCTTGAATGTTCTCACAGAACTGCACAGGATATATTTGAATTTTTTATCTTTCAGAAAAAATTTAGAGACTTTCCAAAGTCACTATTCAAATTAGCACAGGGTATTTGCAAAAAGGTGAAGACCACTTTAAGTCTGATATCAGCAACAAATTCACAGCAGTTCATTTCTGTAGTTCTCTCAGCTTTGCCATATATTGATACAGTGCGTGTTCAGTGACCACAGAACATTCCTTAAACCAAGTTACTCTTGGCAGAGGGTTACCAGCCATAGCTGCATTTTTGGTGCAAAAGCATTTGACATGTAGCAACCCAGAGAGATAAGCTTTTCTTCCAAAAACTTTTCCAGTAGCAGTTTCCCAAGAGTCAGGTATCACTTGAGATAAGTGTGTTGCAGGAGCACAGATCTTCTTAGGTTATGAGATTCTGATAACTCAGTCATGGACTGACTTAAATTCTAAGTACTTAAAAAAAAAAAACAAGTGTAGGGAGTTGAGGCAAACTCAAATTGCCTTTTCAACATTAGATACCCAGAGACATTCAGCCACTAGGCTAATAAGGGCCATTTAAGAGCATATGCATGTGACTCTGCAAGCAATTCTTCACTTTTCTCTTGCAATAAGTTTTTAAAATGTCACATTATATACAGGAGTTGCACTGGAAATATATTTTATTGCTGTCTTTAACTGGAAAAGTATGTAAAACCCTGGTGAAGAATGGATGAAAGTGCTGCTGCAGGACAGGGTTAAATACTGTAAAATCATGTACGTTACACAGAAGTATGCAAAGATGGAAGGGCTTCCCTAAGTAAAGAAAAGCTGTTGTAAATGAATTCATTATTTCAAGCTTGTTACTATGCTGAAGTACAATGAAGTTTTTATACTGAAGTAATCAAATACTTCTGAAAAGACACACAGTGCTAAACATGCAGTTATAAAACTCATTCTATACATTTTTTAATATTCTGCCCATTTGTTCTTTAAGTGATATTTCCTGATCAAAAATAGGATAACAAAATATAACATTTTTCACTATTGTTAAAAATAAATGTACATAAAAATGGTATTTTTGATTGCAATCACTAAGAACTGTGAAGGTGGAAAAAATTGATGTAAAAGTTGAAGGTTAAACCATTTTAAATATTTTGGCACAGCAGGTAACTGCATATAACTTTGTGTTGACTACTTTAGAAAAATAAAGCTGTACTTAAATTATTATTAATGACTTTTGCATATAATAGTGTAAAAATAGGGCAAAGGTAGGATGTCCTAAATATACATTTTTATATCCAAAAAGTACTTTATATACATAAGCCTGGAAATGAAATAAGTCTGCTGAATATTACACAACATAGATTCCCACAAGTATATTGTGCTTTTCTTACGATCCCTCCCTTCTTACACAGCTGTAACTACTCATTTCTCAGAAGACATTATTGCAGCCTAACTTGTTTGGATTCCTTTTAAGCATGGTTTACTAGGTCCACAATATTTGTTGCGAGAATTGCAATATTCTTGCGATGTTTTTATCATAGGCTACTTAGAAGTAGATAACTGACATGCAATATTCTCAGTTCTTCTCTAGGAATAAATGAGTCAAGATTAATCTCTGATACGAAATTATCACTAGGTTTGCTTTAGATTTAGCCTTCAGTCTTAACACTGATTTCTTCCACCTTCATGGTTCTTAATGATTCCAGTCAAATACCACCACAGATCTGCAGATTTTACCAATGCTGTTGAAGATGTCAGCCTTGATATATCCTCGGTAAAGTTCTTCTGCTTTTGTCTTTCTGCTTCCATCACTTACAATTCCCCTAGCACATGGAAGCCTTGTCGGCTTCCATGCAAATCTTCTTCTTCTCCCTCATGGTCACAGTGAATACTAACATGTGTCAGGGCAACCAGATAAATGACTTTATTTCAGTTCTCCTCCCACACCTTCTATCTTCTCCTGATTT